GAGAGAGAGAGAGAGAGAGAGAGAGAGAGAGAGAGAGAGAGAGAGAGAGAGAGAGAGAAACAAGTAAACAAGTAAGTCTCCATGTCCCAGGAAAGCAGAGGTTCCTGTGACCTCCTCAGCCAAACTGCAACCTTCAGGTTTATTTTGTTAAGATTTATTTATTTTTATTTGAAGTGCATATTTGCCTGAATGTATGTATTTGCACCACATGTTTGCAGTGCCCTCTGAGGCCAGAAGAGGAGGTCAGATGCCCTGGACTGGAGTTACAGACAGTTGTGAACTGCCTGCCATATGGGTGGCTAGGAACTGAACCCAGATCCTCTGTAAAAACAGCAAGTGATCATAAGCTCTTAACCATCTCTCCAGCCCATCCTTTTGTGTTTGGGGAACACCTGACATGAGTGCTCGGAGCCACACTCAGGTCTCCAAGATAAAACAGTGAGTACTCTGAACCCTTTAGACATCTCTCCTGCCTATTGTGGAGACACTGTTTGTAGTATCTCTGTCCAGTGAAATGTTCTCCACCTCACAAAGGAAATGTACTGCGTGGATAAATCTTGAGTGTGTTGTGACAATCAAAATAAGCCCACCAGAGAACCGAGTTCCCTGTGTCCATCCTACTGTTAGTTTGGCAGACTGCATTTGTGCATTTTAAGATGTTTGTTTCATCACTCCCAGTTTCTGTCCTTATGTGTACTCTCCCATGGTGACAACCAACGATGTCTCCACAACAAAGCAGGAGAAATGGCTCAGGGATTAGGAGCACTTGTTCTATCATGAGGACCTGCGTTTGGCTTCCAGCACCCATGTCAGGTGGCTCACCTGTAACCTCAAGCTCCAAGGAATCCAGCACCCTTTCCTGTTCTCCCCAGGCACCTGTACTCACATACACAAACACTCACACAGATACATAATAAAATGTTTTAAATGGCTCTACATTGTAAATGTACTGGGAGATCAAACTCAAACTTGTTGAGACTCACTGATGGAGATTTTAGGCCAGGATCAGTAATATGATTGGATTGATTGATTGATTGATTGATTGATTGATAGGGTCTCAGTTTGAGACAGATCTAGAATTTGCTATATAGTCTAGGCTGGCTTTAAAATCTTAGTCCTCCTGCCTTAGCCTCCCTAGTCCTGGGATTATAGGCATGCCTCACTATACAGGTTTTGGATTCACATTTTTTTAAATTGTCATTCCCTGTCCTCTCCTGGGGTCAACTTGTATCCCTACCCAGTGTGCTGCATTCATTTGGATGTAGTGATTGGACAAAGCTTGAGCATGTCAACCTATCACACAATCTGAAAGACACAGAGTAATTTGAACTGAGAATTTAGGGAAAGACAATTTTGATGAGGCCTCCCTACCACATCCAGACTAGAAGTCTGACAAGAAACACATGTTGGAAAGGCAGTAGCTGTCTTGGTGCCTCAAACTGAGACCAACTCCAAGCAAGCAGAATCCAGAAGGTAGAAAGGGGGCCATTATTCTGGTGGTTTCATTTGCTTTCTAGATACAGCCTTGTTTTTGTTAAGTTTTATGTGCAGGAGTCTCACATTCAGCTTTCCTGAGCCAGTTTGCCCAAAGAGGCCAAAGTGCCTGACACATTTGGGGCTAGGCCTTCATTTCTCCTTGAAGCTTTGCTCTGCTTAGCCAGCACTTGCTTAGCCAACATCCTCACCTTTGACTCCTGCCAAACCAGCCCCACCTCTTCTATCCTGCTAAAGACCTCCATAGTCACTATTCACAGCTTCTTTCACATGGCCCAAAGACCAGCTATAAACAAACAAACTGATGGAAAAGCTGCGATGCAGCTCAGTTGGTAGAGTGCTCGCCTGGCACACACAGAGCTCTGGGCTTGATCTCCTGCACAACATAAATAGGACACAGTAGACTCCTCCAGCCTAGGCTACATGTAGTGATGGAAAGGACCAGATAGTCAAGAGCTTTTAAGCCAAGGAAAATGAAATGCTGCAGAAAAATTACATTGCTGTAATTTTCTAGGGTGCTGTCCTGTTTATTGGGGATTTTAATTAGTGCTTAATAATTTTACACAGTTGTGGAGCACAGTGTGTGATAATTTGAAGTACCCAAGTCCTCTACTTATAAAGAAAGAGTTGTCACCTGAGTATGCTGTAGAATGCTGGACCACACTCTCCTGTTTAACTCTTCTGCTGCTGTTCTCTAACCTTACCACCTCTTTCCTCCTCACCCTTTGAGGGCTCTGTAACTCTTCCTCTGCTCTCTACTTCTCTTTCTTTTTTTGTTTGCAGTGCACATATATAGGGGTACTGCATGTACTTGTGGATGCCAGAGATTGATGTTGGATGTCTTCCTTTATTGCTCGCCACTTAGTTTTTGGAGACAAGGGCTCTCACTGAACCTGGAGCTCACCAGTTGGCTAGATTGTCCAAGGCCCAGATATCTTCCTATCTCAACTTCTTAGGGGCTAGGATTATCAATGTGCACCACCATACCTGTTGCTGTTTCTTTTTCCATGTGAAATGCCAGGTCTATTTAAACTGGCCATCACAGGCCCTGCCACAAGGATACTGGGAGCTGGGAGCCTAAGCAAGGAAGGAGTACCCAGGACGTAGAGGGTACAATTCAGCTGAGACTCCAGAGCAGCAGGCTAGTTACAAGCAGGCTGCATTACTGGGGCCAGGCCCATGGAGTGCAACTCCACTCATGGCCTTAGAGTAGAAGAACCTCACCATCTCCTCCTTAGGGTAGCCCTGGCTGGGCTAAACCACATATGGATGAAGTGACCACTCCCTAGGCTGTAGTTGATGACCTTGTAGGAGAGACTCCAGATTTCCTAAATAGAGCCAAAATATAAGTGGAAGGGGTGGCAGGTAGCTCCTGCAGGACACTAGCTATGCTCTGAGGTCCCTTTCCAACCCTTGTACATGTTGCTCTTGAAAGTGAAAGAGATACAACAATCCTCTAACCAGCACTGACATTTCTCTTGTACAGGGACACATGAAGGATCAGCTGTTTGTTCCAGCTCTGGTCCTCCTGCTGATCCAGGATCCAGAGTTAGAGGAGCACTCATAGACACAGGTATCTTGGACAAATCATCATTTGCATTTCGATGTCATGTGATTTGGCTGGTGTTGGTGGAAGAGCACCAGATCTTCCAGGGACTGTACTGCTCATGTACATTGGCCTGGATTTCCCTAGTGGTGCTTAGTGTAAACACTGAGTTCAGTCCTGACCTAAGTAGTCTTGTGCTGTACACCCCATGTGGCCACTTACACCAGAAAGAGCAGCTGCACTGTCAATGGTTGAGATATTACACCTCTCTTAACTCCAAGGGGCAAGCATTGGATGATTTTTCAGCACCAGCTCCTGGGGGTGGGAATTGGGAGAATAGCCTAGTTGTAGTTTATCCTTAGACTGGCTAAGCTCTGATATAGACCTCAATTTCCATCTCTAGATTCTCTGGGTTTCAGGCTCAAAGAAGGTCTTTCCAGTTCTGCAAATTCTTTTACATCTGCTGGGAGCACCATAAAGTATGTGGTCCCATATGAGGGGTGCTGGGTGGCATAGGCTATGTGTGTGGCCCCAGAGGAAGGCTCCAGGTTAAACACAACACAGGAGGCACTAGCTTGTATGTCTTGGTAGAAGTTTAGGAAAGAGAGAAGTCAGTAGTTTGGTGAATGTCTGAGGAGAAGAAAAGAAAGGAGAAAAGGGGAGGAGATGAAAGACACAGAAAAGAAAGAAGAAAGAATAGAAGGAGAAGAAGGAAGGCCATGGCAGGCTTTTGACATGCTAGGGATCCAAACTCAGGTCCTCATGTATGCATAGCTCTAATCCTAGATGCTCTCCCTCGTCCCCTTCTTTTCCCTTCTCCCTCCTTCCCTCTCTCCCTTTCATTCTCTCCTCTCCATCCTCCTCTCTCTACTTCTGCTTATGAGTGAGACCAGCTGGGCAGTGGTGGCACACTCCTTTAATTGGGAAGCAGCGGCACATGTGGATCTCTATGAATTCGAGGCAAGCCTGGTCTATAGATTGAGTTCCAGGACAGCCAAGACTACACAGAGAAACCCTGTCTCAAAAAAAAAAAAAAAAAAAAAAGAGTGAAGCCAGGCAGTACTTGGCTTTCTGTATCAGGATCACTTCACACAATGACCTCTAGGTCCATTCATGTTATCTATTATAGCAGTAACCCTCAGGCTCATGTTTTGATTGCTTGTTCCCTAGCCACTCCACTAGTGCTACATTGAAAGACTGTAGAAACTGACTGGGTGTGGTGGGTCTCCACACTTGGGAGACAGAGGCAAGAAAATCTCTATGAAGTTGAGGACAGCATGGTCTACATGTTGAGTTCCAGGCTAGCCAGGGCTGCACAATGAGACCCTGTCCAAAAATTATAAAAAAAAAATAGAAATTTTTTTAAGAATGTGGAGATTTGAGGAAGTGGTGCTGTAGGGGAAAGTAGGTCACCAGAAGAGGACCATCCCAGGGTATGTTATCACTCTAGGGTATGATGAACAGCTGTTCTACCTCCACCATTGACTGAACTCTCTGAAGCCCTGAGCTAAAACAAACCTTCAGTGTGAGGGGGTGGGGAGGAAGAAGAGGTTGTATTTCAGTTTGCATGTCATTTTCAGTTACTTTTTTGTTGCCATGATGAAATAGCATTATCATAATCAACTTACAGAGTTTATTTTGGCTTTTGGTTCCAGAGGAATAAGAATCCATCATGAAAGAAGGTGTGATAGCAAGTAGCAGGAGCAGGCTTCCTTCCAGGACCAGGAAGATGAGAGTGATCACATCTCATCCACAAAAAGGAAGCAGAAAAGGTAACTGAAAAGGGACAAGGCCATAAACTTTCAATGCCTGGCCCCAGCGAACTTCCTCCATCTCCTAAAAGTTCCATAACCTCACCAAACAGTGTCTCCAACAGGGAACCAATTGCTCAAAAATGTGAATCTATGAAGGACATTTCTCTTTCAAACCATGTATGGCTTCCTCAATCACTTTCCACATTATTTTTTTTTAAGATTTATTTTTATGTGTATGTGTGTTTTGCCTGCCTGCATGTCTAAGCATCACATGCATGTCAATTGCCTAAGGAGGCCAAAATTACAGACGTTTGTGAGCCACCACATGGGTGCTGGGAATTGAACCCGGGTCCGTTAAGAAGAGCAGCCAGTCCTCTTATCCAACGAGCCATCTCTCCAGCCCACTCTACCTTATTTTTTGAGACAGCACTTCTCACTGAACTTGAAGTTTACCAGGGATTGGCCTGCCTCCTTCTCCCCAGAGATTACAAACATATGCCACCATACCCATGCTGGGGATCCAAACTCAGGTCCTCATATGTAGCTGAAGTTTTCCTGTGTCCCACCTGGCCTGTGGTCAGGACAAATCTCTCTCACCGGCCAGTCTTGCAGCTGCTTGGACCCAAGTAAACACACAGAGGCTTATATTAATTAAAACTGCTCAGGCTAACTATTGACTAGCTCTTACACTTAAATTAACCCATAATTCTTATTTATGTTTAGCTACATGACTTGGTACCTTTTCTCAGTACTGCCTTCACATCTTGCTTCCTCTGTGTCTGGCTGGCAACTCCTGACTCAGCCTTCCTATTCCCAGATTTCTCCTCTCTGCTTATCCTGCCTATACTATACTTCCTGCCTGACTACTGACCAATCAACATTTTATTTATCAACCAAATCAGAGTAGCACACATTCATAGTATACAGAACAACATTCCCATCACTCATGCTTTGTTGCAAATACTTAATAAACTGAGCCATCTTCCCAGTCCTATGGCCCAGTTATGTTTCAAACTTTAGTTTCTTCTGTGTATAATAATAGTACTCACCTAGTAGCGTTGCCTCACATAATGACTTTTGTAGGTCCAATTTCTCAATAAAATATGTAGTTAGATGATAGATAGATACATAGATAGATAGATAGATAGATAGATAGATAGATAGATAGATAATAGATCAATAGGTAGGTAGGTAGATAGGGATGGAGGGATGGAGGGATGGATGGATAAACAGACAAACAGCATTGGGTATGAAGACAGAAGTAAGGCCAGACATGCACACCTGGAATCTCAGCACTCATGAGGAAAAGGCAGAAGGATTGCAACAAATTCAAAGCCAGCTTAGTCTAAATAGCAAATCCTGGGTCAGGCAAGGCTACACACACAGTAAGACTCTGTCTCAAAATCAATACCACCCCCACATAAATACATACATACACACATACATACATATATACATATATACATATATGCATACATACATACATACATACAGGCACCATCTGGAATTAATGGACACAGGGGCTCTGGGGGGAAACCAGGACTAGATCTGTGTAATGTAATAAGTGATGATTAAAATAAAAAAGGGCCATGCGGAAAGCACAATAATCCTGCAGGAATGCTACCCAGTTAGAAGGTGTTAATTCTTTTGCAGCAGTTTATAACTAGAGGCTGGAATTGCAGCTTATGGGTAGAATGCTTACCCTGCATGCACAAAGCCCTAGGTTCAATCCTTAGCACGACATAAACAGTATAGCTTAACTTAGCATCCTGAAGGTGGAAGATGTTCAAGATCATTCTCAGATACATAGCAAGTTTGAGGCTAGCCTAGGCTACTTGAGACCCTATTTGCAATAAAATGACAAAATCTCAGGGTTTTTGTTTGTTTGTCTGCTTACTTTGTTTTTAACTTAAGAATTTGCTTCTAGCCGGATGGTGGTGGTGGTGGTGGTGGTGGTGGTGGTGTACACCTTTAATCCCAGTACTCAGGAGGCAGAGCCAGGCGGATCTCTGTGAGTTCGAGGCCAGCCTGGTCTACAGAGCAAGATCCAAAACAGGCACCAAAACAACACAGGGAAACTCTGTCTCGAAAAAACCAAAAGAAAAAAAAAAAAAAAGCTTCTAAAATTGGTGTGGTCTGAGGAGAGAAGAAAGAAAAAAATGTACAAAAGCAGCCATTCTTGGGAAAGTAAGAAAAAATAAAAAGGAAAAGTCTCCTAAAAGCATAGCAAAACCTATCCTAAATATTTTCAGTTATCAGTGTTGCTGGGAAGTTTGGTGAGTCCTATCAGAGATGCCATATGATACCAGAAACTTCGGGTTCCCTTTTGGGGTTCCTAGTCTCATTAATAAAAGGACTTAGGAATGGACTCAAAGGGAAGCTAAGGAACAACTTTATTAGCTTGCATTTAAAAGGAAAACACTACAGGACAATCAAACTGCCAATCCTGGCAGCTGCCTGGAGGAGAGTGAAGAGGAGAAGGAGAAAAGCCATTTATGGGCTGGAGAGATGGGTCAGTGGTTAAGAGCCCTGGCTGCTCTTCCAGAGGTCCTGAGTTCAATTCCCAGCACATACATAGTGGCTCACTCTTCTGGCATTCAGGTATACATGCAGATCACTCATACATAAAATACAAATAAAGAAAAATAAAAGAAAAGCTGTTCAGTGGCAGATAGGTCAGTCACATGCAGGAAGTGAGCTTTAGAGGTAGTGAAAAAGCCCTAAGGATCAGAAAAAGTTTAGCCAGGTTTTAAAAGAAAAAGGGAAATTTCCTTTCTGAGTCAAAGGGGCAGGCAGATACTACTGAACTTCACAGAGATCCATGGGGAAAGAAGTCTAGGAAGGAAAAGTACAGTATCTCATTTAAGGAAGTTATTCCACCTATTTTTTTTTAATGATTTAAGGTCAGTCCACCTTCCTGGAGGTTGTCCTGATATCCTAAGTGCTGGTCCTAAGGCAAGGCCATTGATCTGCCCAACTGGAATGTTAGGTCTTCACCCTGGCCAGAGATTTCACTGTCCTGAATGTAAGAAAATAGTTTCCCCTTAATGTTAAGGTCTCTCCCACTGCACTGCCATTAGGGACTTACATAAAATACAAAAAGGAATTGAGTCTTGGGCATATACCCAAGGAATGCTCAATCTTACCACAAGGGCACATGCTCAACTATGTTCATATCAGCATTATTCATAATAGCAAGAACCTGGAAACAACCTAGATGCCCCTCAACTGAAGAATGGATAAAGAAAATGTGGCACATATACACAATGGAGTACTACTCAGCAGTAAAAAACAATGATATCATGAAATTTGCAGGCCAATGGATGGAATCATCTTGAGTAAGGTAACTCAGACTCAGAAGGACAAACATAATATGTACTCACTCATAAGTGGATACTAGATGTGAGGGAAGGGATGGCCAGACTGCAACTCACAACTCCAGAAAGGCTAGCTAACAGGGAAAGACCCTAGGAGGGACACATGAATGAACCTGCGAAGGAGGAGTGGATGAGATCTACATGAGCGGACTGGATGTGGGGGGGTAGCAGAGGGCGAGGAGTGGAGGATAAGAACATAGGGAAATGGGAGGGTCAAGCTGGAACAGGGACAGAGTGGGAGGGCAGGGAGGAAGATACCATGATAGATGTGGACATCATGGGAATAGGAAGAGGCAGGGTGCTGGGGAGGCTCTCAGGAATCCACAAGGATGAGCCCACCTGGGAGTGCTGGCAGTGTGCCAGAGGGTGCCTGGACTGGTCTACTCTGGTAACTGGTCTAGCGAATAACCTAGCTGTCATCATAGAGCCTTTGTCCAGTGACTGATGGAGGCAGATGCAGAGATCCACAGCCAGGCATCAGGCTGAGCTCTGGGAATCCAAATGATGAGAGAGAGGAGGGATTCTGCAGGCGAGGGACATTGAGATCATGATGGGAGGACGTGCAGAGATGACCAGTCACACTAGTGGAAACCCATGAACTGTGGACTGGTGGCTGTGGAGCCCCCATGTGACTGGACTAGGCCCTCTGAATATGGAAGACGGTTGTTTGGCTCAAACTGTTTGTGAGGGGGGGTGCACCCAGGCAGGGAGACTGGGATCTGTGCCTGGTGCATGGACAGGCTTCTGGAATCCGGTGCCTGTGGTGTGATGCCTTGCACAGCCTTGGTGCAGTAGGAAGGGGCTTGGACCTGCCTAGGCTCAGTGTGCTGGGCTCTGCTGACTCCCCATGGGAGACCTTGATTTGGGGGATGTGGGGATGCAGGGTGGCTTGGGAGAGAGGACTGGGGGTAGGAGGAGGGAGGAGGGGGGATCTGTGGGTGGTATGTGGAGTGAGTAGAAAATTTCTTTTAAAAAAAGGAAGTAGGATATTAAGTTCAACTACATTTAGAAACTCTCATCAAAAGAAAGTAGAGGATATTCACAAGGTGTGTGTGACAGAAACTTTCTCCTCAGACCAAGTAAAGAAGTCTTTGAAATCAACAAAATAAAACTACACAGTATATAAGTATTGTTATGCCCGTCATGAGCCACCCAGAGAACCCCCCATCACCAATAGTCCAAGTTCGTATGCAAAAGCAAAGAGCCTTTATTGCAAGCTCAAACTTGGGCTCTCTGTCTGTTCTGACACAGTGGTTGGATCAGAGAGAGCCCTGAGCTCAGTTGTGGAAGGGTTTTTAAGAAGTAAAGGATGGGGAGTAGGGGAATTCTGGATTCAGATGGGGTTTGAACTCCTGACTGGGCAGGAATGAGAGAACAGAAGTCTTGTCAAACAGGGATTGGTATTTGGTGTTGCTGCAAGGAGATTGGCAACCTATATACAAGTGATGTAAGCTACCCTTTATGTCTTGGAGCATCTAATACTTGTTTGTCTCTATTCTGATTGGTCTCACACAGGGTACAATTTGTGGCTTTTCCTGGTTATTGTAATGGTGAGGCCTAGTCCCAGTATTGTTAATCTGCAGCCTGATATGGCTGCACTAATGTTAAGTTTGGCCTCTTCAAGAATGACAAGGGGATGCAACTCAGTAGTAAAGCATTTGCCTAGCATGTGCAATGCCCTGGTTTCAATCCCCAGTACCAGAAAAAAAGAACAAGATACTGTACCTTGCCTCTCTTTCCTCCCTTACTCTTTGATTTCCTTCTTTCCTTTTCACTTGGGGCCTCACAAGCACTAGACAAGTGCTGCACCACTGAATACTCCCTTTCAAAAAGGAGAAAAATCCACATGGTAAATAAAAATAGAAAAAAAATTCAGCTTCATTTATAGTCAGAAAATGCAAATTAAGCCCACAGTATCATACAAAAATATGCATATAGTATACATTTGCTGAATGCATGGTATATTTTGCCATGATCATACAAAGAAAACCTATATATACACACAAGCTTATAAAACCAGCAAAAGTAATTGTTGTAAAGTCTCTCCCACTAAATCCCTCTCTTTAAATATTATTAGTATGTAGTGTGGCCTATCAGAGTTTCTGCACTAGCAATAGCACCTAAGAATACATGGCTACCTTTCTCTGCTAATTAACACCAAGTTACATCAAAGAGTCAATTAGGACTTGTCTGGGGAACCAGAATGAAGACCAAAGCAAAAATAATTCAGCAAGGAGGTTTCTTTTTGCAAGAGAGGTGCACCAGAACCCAAACCATGTTACACTCACTAGTTGGTGACTTCATCTCATCCCATTGGTGGAAACTGTACCTCATAATTGTAATGGATCTGTACAAAGAGATTCAGGAAATAGGGCCCTTGTCAGGTTGAGTACCTTTGACAGAATAAAAATGTTTCTTTCATCCTGGGGGTGTTGGCATCTTTGGAGGACCTAAGAAAACTGGACGCTGGATGAGTCCTGGGATAGCTACTGTTTCACTCACTATCCAGGCTCTGTGAGGCCATCAGCACTAGGAAAGTGCAGGCCTGGTTAAAGCAGTTGTGAGGTTGGACCACCTGGAAGTAGCCATTTTCAAGATGTCCAGGATGCAGATGTTGAGGGGACCTGGTAAGATGCTGGCAGAGCAGAAGATAAAGTTTTAGACACATTAGCATTCCCACTGTTTGTAATCTATACTGAAATCTACATTGTAGAAAAGGCAATAGACTCACCCCCTTTAGTCATAAGGGACCCAAAAATGATTCTGGTTAAAAGTATGAATGCTTTCTTTTGTCCAGAAGACTGGGTGTATACAGATTAGACATATTCTTAGCACAACGAGAAGCACTCTTAAGCCTATACTTAGAAAACAACCAAAGGGGATTTAAAATCATGAGCTTGTAACTATGATAATAGTAGTCAGCACTTACCAAAGCTATCACAATTCTATTGGTTAATGTTAAGACTCTGAACTTTTAGATTCTTACTATAACAAGTAGCATAGCAAGGGAAAGAAATATGAAACATTTTTTCATTCTTTTTATAGACCTTAAATCACTTTCTTATTACCATTTAAGCTTTCACATCTTCAGACCTTTATAACTTGTATTTACGTACCTTAAAACACCTTCATAGACCCTAAAACATTTTCTTAGATCCTCACAACTTAAGTTTTAAACTTTATACTTTTTTCTATCTAATCATTTACCAGGAGACATAGGGGGTTGATTACTGAGGGCAGTCATTATAGAGTGAATTCCTTTAAATAAAGGAACAGTAAAAAGTTACATTGAAATGTTTTGTGAGTTTACAGAGTATTCAAGCTACTTTAGGCAGTTCTTTCTGTTTGAAGCATCATGAGCAGTACAGAATAAGCAGCTGTGTAGCTCCTGTTCCCTAGATGCTATGCCTGGCATCACCCCCTGTACTTCCTGCTCAACACAGCAATCCTGTGAGCAGGTGTACCCTGATGCTTCAAGTGAGGAAACAGAGGCCAAGAGGAGTTAGAAAGTTGGTCATATGTGGCTGAGGAGTTTATAAAATGCCATAGAAAATAAATAATACACTCTGCACCACTGCTGCCACTGACTAATGGTGGAGGACTCCTTCTGAGTCTTCCTTTAATTCCATCCTTATTGTCCCAGGGAAGCCCTCAACACCATAAAGCTGAATAGGGTTTGGGGCTTCATGTAATCCCAGCACTTGAAAGGCAGAGGCAAGAGAATCTCTGTGAGTTCCAGGCCAGCCTTGTCTACAGAGCTAGTCCCAGGACAGCTAGGGCTACACAGAGAAACTCTGTCTTGAGAAAGAAGGAGGAAGAGGAGGAGGAGGAGAGAAAGAGGAGAGGGGGAGGAGGAGGAAGAGAAATAATGGCGAGATAAAGAAGAGGAACAGAAAGAAGAAAAGAGGAGAAGGGCAAGAGGATGAGAGGGAGAAGGAAGGTAGAGAAAGTATTATTTTGTTTTGTTCTCCTGCAGTCATAGCACCCTGTCTCTATTTGTGTCTTCTGAAGTACTTTTCCATACTTGTAATCATTTGTTCCTTTCTTTGTTTTCTGTAGCCTCCCAAGCCAGACTGCAAGCTTCATGCTTTAAGGCTCTGTCATCTCTTACCTGAACCCCTGCACCTGCCTTCTCTCAAGTCTCTCAGTTCCCATCTCCCCCACCACAGCCTGAGCCCCTTATAGCAGCTAGAGGGATTCTGTGAAAGCAGGAAAGCATCAAGTCATCATGACTTCCCATAATCCTTTGAAGAAAAACTAATATGGAAATGACTCAGCAATCTCAATTGCAGGAACATGCCCAGAAGTGAGAGCGTGGGCAGACATGTGCACACTCATGCTACATCAGAGTATTTCTCCAGAGCCAAAAAGGGAAGCCAGCAGTGACTATAGATGGTAAATGGACAATAAAATGTAGCATCTATGTGCAATGGAACCTTTTCCACCACAGAAAGGAAGGGAATGCTGACCATGCTATGCTATGACATGAACTTGAAGACATCATGACAATCAAAATCAGTCACACTGAATAAAATAAGCCAGACCTGGAAGGATACCTGCAAGTAGAAGGTGGGTGATGGGTGGAAAGAGGAGAGGTATCAGCAGTAGAAAGGAGGGGAGACCAGAAAGGGTAATTGTGGTTCAGTTAAGAGCACTTCCTGCTCTTGTAGAGTGACTGAGTTTGCTTCTCAGCACCCATGTCAAGTAGCTCACAGTGGCTTGTAACTCTAGTTCCTGGGCATCTGACACCTTCTCTGGCCTTTGAAGGCACATGTACACATAAAAACACATAAGTTTAAAAAATATTTTTAAAAGGATAATGCAGTATGTTGAGTGAATATGATCAAATGCCATCAAACTCTCTGTATGTATAAAAATATTATGAGCTGTGTGTGGTGGTGAAATCTCATGTCTCAGCACTTAAGAGGCAGAGACAGGAGGATTACCACAAGTTCAAGGCCACCTGGTCTACATACAAATGCTAAGCCAGTCTGGGCTGTACAGTGAGACCCTATCTCAAAACAAACTAACAAACAAAATGTCATAATGAAATCTATCACTTTGGGCCAGAGAAAAAGCTCAGTGGTAGAGCATTTGCCTAACATACATGAGTCCATAGATCCAATCCCTAATACCAAAAAACGAGTAAACAAATGGTCTACTGAGATGGCTCAGACAGTAAGAGTACTTGCCACACAAGCCTGATAGCCTGAGTTCTATGTCCAGAACCCATATGAAAAAATCCAGTGTGGAGTGCAAGCCACCTTTCCTGAGTAAGTGTAACTACCACCCTGCGTAAAAACATGCCGCTCTTTACAGCAAATGGAGAGTATCACAGAGAACCACAACTGGACACAATGCAGAGATCAACAGATCGTTGGGAGCCCAGCCCCAGTGGACACATTTGCATCACAGCTCCTGCATCCATGGCTCAGGGAACGTTGTAGAAGAGGGGGTGGAAAGGCTGTGAGAGCCAGAGTAATAGGAAGTCTGTCGTGAAATAGTCTCTCCTAGAAATGGCTGCATAAACAATGGCAATATCAAAGGATATGGTAACAAGGAAGGGAGAAAATTTTGCAGCATCTCACCTATAGACAAAAAACTGTAGGCAATTAATGACTGCCAGGAAAAGGAGAATTAGCCTCTCCCAGGAATGAGCTCCCTTATTGGTTGTCCATGCAGAGTGGTCAGTCCTGAAATCATATACATACAAACAACAAAAGCAGACTCAGCAAGTTGTATTTATACAACCATATACACACAAACAACAAAACAGACTCATAAAGTTGTATTTACACATTTTAGTCTGTGCATATACATACATAACAATAATGAGACTATCAACTTGAGATTGTTGGGGGATGGCATGGGATGGATTCAAGGGATGGTCCCTGGAGAGGTTGGAGAGAAGAAAGGGAGAGTGGAAAGTGGTATAATTCTATTTCAGTTTAAAACACATTTTTAAAAAACCAGATATAGTGACACACATTTGTAATTCCAGTACCCTAGTAGTGAAATAGGAGGCTGAGATAGGAGAATCAGCTGGAAGCCTTCAGGGTCAGCTAGCTTGGGGTACACAGTACAACAACAATAAGAGAGACCCAGCCTCAGCAAGGTAAAGGTGAGTGAGAACAGACTCCCTTAAAGCCCTCTGGCTTCCATATGCATCAGTGGCTTTTTGCACCTGCACTAACTCACACATACATACAAATAATGAAATAAATAAACATTTTAAAAGAAACACATTATATTGTACCATGACTATACATGATATAAAAAAATTACTACAATTATGGTGATGGTTTGATTAAAAACAGTCATAAAAGAAAATATATTACATGTGTCCACATGGATGTGGTTCCTAGACTAGAAACATTCAGAGACAAAGCTGGAGCACTACAGCAGACTGCAGTCATTATTAGGACAAAGCTACAGAAAGGGGATGGTGACAAATGTTCTAGAGCTGGGTGAGGGTGTAGAATTCTGTCCTCTGGGCGTGGCATGGCTGTAGTCCATTTGAAATCAGAACAACTATGACTGCCACACAAGACACTCATCAAACTGAGCACACTGATTCCCTCATGGAATAAGACAGGGTTCAGTAGGTATGGGAGGTAAGCATGAGGCCTCACCCCTTCCTAGGACATATAAGCAGCTACATTTGTGAAGTGGGTAGGGTCTCATGAAGCTCTGCCCTTTCCTGGCATATTCAAGTGATTAATTGTTGCTTGAGGAGAGAGCCTCTTCAGTGGTATAGCTGCTCATGCTCCTGTAACTCACTCAGTACATTCACTGGTTCCCTACATTAGACCTATGTGGAATGGTTTCTTTGGTCTGTCATTGGTGTCCAGTCAAGGAGGAGTAGATGTGGATTCACATCCTGCTAGGAAAGGTCAGACAACATATGATGGCCATATGAATTTACTTAAGGACATTTGAATTGGTCAAATTGGTCCATTATGTCTATGTCACCACAATAAACTAATACAATAAGGAAGTAGAATAGAAAGTTGGGAAGAAGTTATGGGGTGTCGGGGAGAGGAACCCCTGGGTCCTAGTTTCCATTTTACATTACCTTAGAGACAAGAATTTCCACCCAACCAACAAAACCTGCTGTGCAGACTAGGCATTAAAACGTCAAGAGAACCTCACCTACTGTCAAAGTTTATGCAACTTTGCCAGCACCCTTTACTCATAGTAAACCTATAGAATGAGAACTCCATGGGCCCTTGTAACCTGTGTTTTTATCTTATCAGTGTTCCTTTTGTGTCTGCGAACCTGAACACCTGCACCTCATAAGGGGCCTTGTCATCTCACTCGCTAGAGGAAGCTGAAGATTAACAGCTATACCACTTTTCCTATAGAGATGACATCCTCTGAACAAGGCAAGTTTAAAGGCCACCAGAATCACATATGTAAATGTTGTTGAGACACCTCAGTGGGACTTCTCTTAAGGAACTTGAGCATGCACTATTGTCTCTCTTTTGTATGTGTATGTGTGGGGGTAGGTTATGTGTGTGGTGCAGATGCTTAAGCACATATACACACATGCAGAGGCCAGAGGACAAGCATCTTCTATAGCCAGGTGGTGGTGACACATGCCTTTAATCCCAGCACTCAGGAGGCAGAGGCAAACTGATTTCTGTGAGTTCCAGGCCAGCCAGGGCTACACAGAGAAAGCCTTTCTCGAAAATCCAAAACAAATAAACAACTTCAACAACAAAAAAACAAGTGTCTCCTATCAGTCTCTGTCATGTTGCCTTGAGAGGGGTCTCTCATTTAATATGAAGCTTATTATTTGGTTGAATTACTCTGGCTGGCTAGAGAGCTTCAGGGGCCTGCCTGCCTCCACCCAACAGTGCTGGGATTATAAAGACACATGGCCATACCCATATTTTTACATTGGTAATGGGAATTCAAACTAAGGTCCTCATGTAAAATTGCTCTTAGTTGCTGAGCCATCTCCTGACTTTCTCCTTCCTTTCCTCCTCTTCTCTTCCTTCTCTCTCTCTCTCTCCATGCCCTTAAACATAGAGTCTCACATAAGCTCTCCCAGCACTCTTAGTCACTGCACTACCTCTCTGGCCCCTTGTTTTTGTTTTTGAGACAGCATTTTACCATGCAGCTGATATAGCCAAGGCTGGTCTGGAACTCCCTATATAGCCCAGGCTGGTCTGGAATTTGTTATCCTCTGGCCTCTGCCTCCTGAGTGCTGGGATTATAGGATTACAGGCATGAGCCACCCTGTCATTTAAATAATTCTGTGTGTAGTGTAAATGTGAAATGTCTCTCACAGGCTGTGCTTGAACACTTGGTCCCCAGCTGGTGGCAGGCACTGTTCTGGAAGGCTGTACAATCTTTAGAATCAGGGACCCAGGTTGGGGAAGTGGATCACTGTGGGTGAGCTCTGAGCTTTACTTCCTGTTTGTTTCTGTTTCCTGACTGCCAACCTGATGTAACTACTTACTGATGAGACCACAAAACCACCTGCTGCCATTTTGTTCCCATCACGAGGCCTGAATCCCTCTAAAGCAAACCAATCCTTCCTTTCTTAAGTTGCTTTGTCAGGTATTTGGTAACAGTGGCAAGAGAACAATTAATACAGACCCCAGCTTTACTTCATACTGAATCTTCCTGAGATGCTTTTCTGCAGTGTAAGTGAAGACCTCAGCTAGCCCCAAGTGGCTATCCCAGAGGGAAGGCCTCAAAGCTGCACAGCCCACAGCACTGAGTTGAGTTTCTTGCTGCTGGTAGCAACAGTTAGGCCTCAGATGCAGTTCTGTGATACATGCATAAGACCCAGGGTTGACACCCCTCACTGAGATGATAATGATGATGATGATGATGATGATGATGATACCAGGGCTGGTGAGATGGCTCAGCTGGTAAAGTGTTTGCTGTACAAATAGCAGGGCCTGAGTTCAGATCCCAGCACCCATGTAAAAAGCCAGGCACTATAGCACACACCCATAATCCTATCACTGGGGAGGCAGAGGCAGGAGGATTTCTGGGGTTTGCTGACAAGCCAGTCTAGCCAAATTGGTGGACTCTAGGTTCAGTGAGAGACCCTGTTTCAAAAATTAAGGTGTAGAACAATTGAGGAAGACCCTCAACATCAATGTCTGGTCTCCACATGCACACACACACACACACACACACACACACACACACACACACACACACATTTACATATATATAAACCACACACACATAAATTAACAATAATAATAAAAAATAAAAAATAGAGTTATTAAGAAGAATTCTGGGCTGGAGAGATGGCTCAGAGATTAGGGATGCTCTTCCAGAGGTCCTGAGTTCAATTCCCAGCAAACCACAACCATCTATAATGAGATCTAGTACCCTCTTCTGGTGTACAAGCACAACAGTGTAACATAATAAATTTAAAAAAAATTTTTTTTAATTCGTTAAAAAAAAATTCTAATCCTGATGTAGTGGTACATGACTGTAATCTCAACACTCAGAAGGTAGAAGGATCTTGAGTTCAAGTATAGTTAGGGGTGTGTAGCAAGATCCTACCTCAAAGAAGAACACAACAAAAGAACAGACTAGCTGGTGAGGGATAGAGCTGAAATGGAACTCAAGATGGACAGACTTCCAACTCCTTAACTAGTCTGTTGAGTCACAATTTCCTTATCGCTAAAGGACTGGACAGAGATGTGTTTTGTGAGTATTTCCTGGCACTGGAGTTTGAAGAGGAAGTAGGAAAAAAATTAAGATAATTTTTTTTAAGTAAGATAAATAGCTCGTGAAGTTCAGTGGTAGAATGCTTGCCTAGTATTCACCAGATTTTGGTTAGAAATAAATAAATAAAATAAAAGAGTTTTCTGAAGATCTAAGTCATCAAAAGGAAGCTCTTGAATCACATTTTTCAAAATTTATTTATTTTATGAGGTGGTGGTAGTGATGCATGCCTTTAATCCCAGCACTTGGGAGGCAGAGACAGGCAGATCTCTGTGAGTTGGAAGCCAGCCTGGTCTACAGAATGAATTCCAAGACAGCTACACAGAGAAACCCTGTCTTCAAAAACCAAAAATCAAAATAAAACAAAACAAAAGAGTAACAGGTGGTCATGAGGTCATGAGTAGCCAGGTGTTGGCTGGGAACTAAACCTGAATAGGATCTTCTAGAAGAGCAGCCAGTGCTCTTTACCATTGAGCCACCTCTCCAATCTCTTGCATCATATTTTTAACACAGGCTGTTTGTGATCCTAATATTTCTATACTCCTATGTAGATGTGTATATGCGGATGTATGTGTCAAAGCCAGAGATTGATATTAGTTGTTATCCTGTATTGCCCACCATCTTGTTTTTTGTTTTTTTAATATTTGCTTTATTTCTTATGTGTAATGGCATGTATGTGTATGTGGCTCTCAGAGGCCAGAAGAGGCCATTAAACCTCCTGGAGCTGGAGTTACAGACCATTATAAACCACCTGATGTGAGTTCTGGGAACAGAATTCTGGTCCTCTGCAAGAACAGCAAATGCTCTTAACCACTGAGCCAGTTCCCTCCTTATTTTTTGAGATATGGTCTCTTGCTGAACCTGGAACTCACTGATTCCACTAGATTGGTTGGCCAACCATCTTCCTGATTCCTCGTCCCATTACTGGGATTACAGGCATGTGCCATTGTGTCCAGCTTTTTAATGTGGATGCTGGGGATCCAAACTCAGGTACTCATACTTGTGCACACTGAGCCATCTCCTCAGCCGAGAGGTCAGAGCTATTAGAGCCATAGCAAGAGCGTGGCGGCGCACACCTTTAATCCCAGCACTTGGTAGAAGAGCTAGGTAGATCACTGTGTGTTCAGGGATAAAGCCAGCATTGGAGACATATGCCTTTAAGACCTGGAGGGTGGTACTTACAGGCAGTGACGAGGCAGTCATGTGTTTGGGTTTACAACCAATGAGAAGGCAGAACAGAAAGACTATGTAAAGACAGACACACAGGAAGTAGCTCTCTTTCGGGAAGCTAGGAGCACTGCAGGAGGTAAGATTTTAGCTTTGAGCTCCGACCTCTCGGCTTTCTCTTTTACATTGGTTCTGTGTTTTTTATTTTAATAAGATGGTTGGTTACATCTACATCTATGTTCACATTTTAGGCAACATAGCAATATGGTAAATAAGATTCTGCTCAGATGGTCTAGACTTAACTCTCAACTTTCTTTCCTTCCTTCCTTCCTTCCTTCCTTCCTTCCTTCCTTCCTTCCTTCCTTCCTTCTCTCTCTCTCTCCTCTCTCTCTCTTTCTTCCTTCCTTCCTTTCTTTTGTTTTTTTGAGATAGAATTTTTCTGTGTAGCTATGACTGTCCTGGAACTTGTTCTGTAGAGCAGAATCACAGAGATCCATCTGCCTCTGCCTCCTGAGTGCTAAGATTAAAGGTATGTGCACGGCAGCTATTTCTCACCAACCATGTTCTGCCTGGGCAAGTTGTTCAACTTCTCTTTGCTCTAGTTTTTCTGTGTACAAAGCAGAAATGACAACAGTAATTGTTCCATTGGGTTGTCACAGAGATTAAATATAAATAGTCGAGGGAAATTTTCATCTGTGTGTGACATAACGCTGACTGCTGTGACCACTGAGTGTGAGAGAGTCATTCCCAGACTGTCACCGGCCTCTGATTGATGTCATTACAGAAGCAGAAACAAGAGAGATACTGCCTCATCAAGGTAAACCTGTCTCAACCTCCCAAGTGCTAGGCCTGCAGGTATGCTCCACCACACTTGGCAAAAGTATTAGCAGATGAGGTTGGACCTCATCAAAATTAAAAACTTTGTGCATCAAAGGACATTATCAAGTAGAATGGGATGAAATATTTACAAATTATTGATAAAGTTGGCATAGTGGCACATGACTGTGAACCCAGCATTCAGGAGATGAAAGCAGGAGGATCAAGAGTTTGAGGCTATCCTTGACTATAGAGAGTTTGAGACCAGGCTGGCCTATGAGAGACACTATCTCAATAAACAAACAGGTAAAAAAAAATCTGATAGTCATATCTACAATTCTTTTAAAAGTGATGCCCATATTCCCAGCAATATATAAATATGTATTTACATGCAGTTAGTGCCTTGAATAAATGCTCCACTGGATAGGAAATAAGTGACTGAGTCCCTCCTATGCAGTCATGGCACTGGAAGTGTCTTCTCATGAAGGGAGATGGTTATTTAAAATTGAATGTCTAGAGGGACCTCTTTCTCTGCTCTGCTTAGTGTTCCCATAGAGACAAGCTGGGGCAAGCTATGAAAATAAAGAGAAATAGCTGTGGGCACAGGAAGACGTTAAGCCCTGGATCCACCAAGTATTTGGTCACTCAATGATGAACAACATGAAATGTTTTTAACAGAAAGACTATTATAGAGTGAAAA